TTAAATTAAAAAGTATATCAATCATTATTCTTATCAAAATTTTAGAAATTCAATCAACAAGTACCTCAATTGCATTGATACTTACTAATTTAAAATTTTTAAATTAAGATCAAATATTCAAATTTTTGTAAAAAAAAATCTAAATCTTAAACTGCTTTTGGCTTTATGCATTCGGAGTTTCCTTCCACACCTCCGATGCTTCCTCAATCCTCATCCAAAACTTGGTATCCTATGCGCTCTTGTCTCAAAATATACATAGAGACACATGCACACCAATGTAAGGACACTCGAAAAAGGCAAAAGGTGCAGATCACCCCCTCAACTCAACAACTGGTGGCAAATCACCCCCTCAACTCACTTCACTCGCAAATCACCCCCTCAACTCACCTGCAGTGGCAAATCACCCCCTCTGTTAAGGCTTCCGTTAACATTTAACGGTCCGCTCATGAACCCTTCCTCTATGTCTGACGTGGCCCCTCTGAAATTATCATGTTCTTAATTAACTAATAATAAATCTAGAAATCAATTATTTTCAAGGTTTTATTATTATTATTTTTTAAGAAAAGGAAATATTTCCTGTTTTCTTATTTGCTTTCAAAAAAAAAAAAATATATATATATATATGCCTTAATGGTTTTTGTTTTTATTTTCTCAGGTGGTCTTTGATTGCTATACGTTTACCAGGAAGAACTGATAATGAGATTACAAACTACTGGAACACTCACATCAAGAGGAAACTCTACAGCCGTGGAATTGACCCTCAAACTCACCGGCCACTCAATTCCATGGTCGTTGCAACCGCCGCTACTACCGCCACAGCAGGAAGCACTAACAAGAGAAGTACCCCTAATAACAGCCTTAGCAACAGTATCACCAGCAACAACAAAAACAACAGTACTAATTTTTAGTTTGACATGCAAAATTAATTAACGCCACCGTTGAAGCCGGAGTTCCAGTCATAAAAATCAATTATTTCTAATGGCATCCCTAAACCGAACTCAATATTGCATCTATTCTCAAAATATGGTAATTTCACTGGCGATTCAGAGCTTGACGAAAAAGCCATGCTCGCTCGATGAATTGCAAATCTTGCTGATAAAGAGTTCAATTTTTGAAACCACGAAGAGGGGAAGAAGATGATAGAAGCTGGAAAATGAAATAA